GAGAAGGTTTGAGCATTAATCACCACGCTTGCTCAAGACGGGTTGGTGATTTCAAACTTATAATTATTGTGAAACTATAAGTCCAGGTTTCCTCACGATGTTTTCCTTCACCGTATCTCAGTGGTGTCTAAATACTCTCAGAAAGTACATATGACTCCGAAAAATCACATTGGTACTTGCCAGGTTTGAACCCGCGCCCTCGGCAACGAGAGGCGGACCCTTTAACCACTAGGCCACCACTGACTGAAGTGTACTCTATTATAATTAAAATACTTTTTTATATTAATAAACAAGGCTTTAAAAATGAAAGCCTTTACTTGATCCGAAGTCTTTCTTTCTTTTCATATATTTTTGTTTTCTCAAACAATTTACATGAACTTACTCCTTGTTTTATATTACAAAATAATAATAATATAATTTTTATATTAGATATGTAAGCCGAGCACACATCAGTCAATTGCTACAGTTAGAGACGTGCATCTTAAAAGTATTAACAGATCGAGGAGTATATAAGACGATCGATACATCGTCCAGCATCATTGAACACACAACAACATATCTAGTAACAGATGCACTAACAATAACTAATCATATATTAAAAGAACGTACAAGTTCACGAAATCAAGGATTCATTTTACAAAATGAAGGTGTGACGTTTAATCAATAATAATATTATTAATTATTTTATTTGTCATATATTTTCTAATGCCATATTGTTTTCAGTGTTTCATAGTGTGTTCGTTACTTGTGGTGTCGTGTTTGGCGGAGCCACCAGTTAATAAAAGGTAACAAAACATTGAGCTAATAATAATAATAATAAAGGAATTCAAATTATTCTTCCATTTGAATATTTCTCTTCCTCACTCCCTTCACTAATGAAAGTTTAATCTCCAGGTATCTTCCTCCACAAGCGAGGAACGCGTCTCCCTCTCAGAGTTACGGTGTTCCAGGATTCAGTCAGAGACAGACTGAAGCTGTCTTCAGGTAAGGTTATGAATGGAAGAATAATTATATCAACTTTTATTTTAATTGATTACAAAACTTAAGGTTGATTCTCAAGATAGTGAAACATTGTCATGCTTTTAAATAAATAATTACTTTATATAAAAACCTTATTAAAATTCGATATAATATTGCAGAGGACGTCCTTCATCTGCCTACGGACCATCTGTAAGTATCCGGAAACCAAACTCTCAATTCGGACTACCCAAAACTCCTTCCTCTCAGTATGGAGCACCGAACAACCAATATCAAGGACAAAAGCAAGCACCCACCAGCCAACACTTACCACCAACCAACCAGTATCAAGCTTCTGGGAATCAACTCTCTACTCCAAGCACCAAAGGCACAATACTTGCCACCTGTAAACCAATACCAAGCACCTTCCACTCAGTACGGTGCACCAAATCAGGCTGGATCCAATGGACCCTCTCAAGAATATGGAGCTCCTGGATTTGAACTGAGTATGTTGTATTTGAGATAATATTCAATGAACAAAAATTTGGATCAGCTCCAACCATATATTTCAAAGCTCGTTTACATGCCTCTGTGTTTCTTGTTACATCATTCTAATGGTTTGTATAAATGAAACTAATATTTTCGGATTTACTACCGTGAGCACGGGTTGCAGTTACCTACTGTAAAGTAACCGAAACGTCCTGAGTATGTAGTTTATAGTTAAAAATTAAAAATCGCGTAATAAATCCGAAAATATGTATTAGTTTCATTTAAATGAGTACTCGCGAAAATCTTAGATCTCACTAATCGTTTGTAATTTTCTAATAGGTGTTAGTGACAACAAATATGACAACCAACAAAGCAGACAGTACCTGCCTCCCAGTGTTCGGGGATATAATGATGGACGCAATGGAGTGAGTTTAATATTGAATTCACTTTTATATCAACATTTGGCCAGTTCCCATATCGGGTTGCTTAATCTATACATATAATAAAATTGTAGAAAAGTGCTGTCTGTACATTGAAAATAAAAATAAAAAAATAGCAGGGGTTATTGTTATGTCGATGTCGAACCCAAAAATGTAATTAACTTTTTTTTGTCTGTTTGTCTGTTTGTCTATTCACGCTAATCTCAGAAACGGCTGATCCGAGTTGGATGCGGTTTTCACGAATATATTGTGGTATGCTTCAGTTATGCTTTAGTGTCTGTTTCATGTCAATCGGTTCATAAATAAAAAAGTTATGTCAAATTAAAGAATCATATTTAAAAAATAGCGCTGCTCATAGTCACTATTCCACGCGAAAAAAGTCGCTGGCACAGCTAGTAGTAAATAAGATGATAGTTATAATTTATATTGAATATTTATATATAAAATATTTATCAGTGAATGAATAAATACTATGAACTATAATGTGTAGTGCCATGTATGAGGGGAGGTCAAAAAGTTCGCGGAATGGAGGGGATGGAGGGGGTTGATTTACTCGTCCAGGTAGTAACTTGTTCAACACCTCATTAATAGTATATATACCAAATTTGAACCAAATCGGGTGATTAACTTTTGAGTTGTTGACCTGCAAACAAGTGAATCGGGAAGAAGTCAGTGAGTATGGAGAAAATTGAACACCGCGCCGTTATTAAGTTCCTCACCAAGCAAGGAAAATCCGCTCAGATAATTTTTGAAGAGCTGTTATCAGTTTACGCGGACTCTGCCCCTGGTAAAACCATGGTTTGCAAGTGGCATGGACTTTTTAAACAAGGAAGAGAGTCCATTGAAGATGACGCCCGCTCCGGACGACCGATTGAGGCCACCACACCGAAAATCGTCGCAAAAGTAGAAAAACTTATATTGGAAGATGCCCGGTTGAAGAAGAAACGGCTTGGAGCAATGGTTAGAGTATCCGAAAAAAGCATTTTAAATATCCTACATCATCATCTTGGGATGACTAAGGTCAGTGCAAGATGGGTTCCAAGAATGCTCACGCCACTTCAAAAGAGCGAGCGTGTCGAGTGTTCTCGCCAGTTTTTGAAGCTCTGTGGAGAGAATAAGGACGAAGTTATGGACCGGATTTTTACTGGTGACGAAACCTAGGTTCACCACTATGAACCTGAATCGAAGCAAGAATCGATACAGTGGCATAAAAAAGGCACAGCTCCTCCAAAGAAGTTTAAAGTGTCACAATCGGCCGGAAAGATCATGGCGACTGTCTTTTGGAATACAGAAGGTATTTTGCTGATCAATTATAAAGATCGTAGTGTGACTATAACGGGACAGTACTACGCTTCTTTATTAGATAGATTGAAAGAAGCTATCAAGGAAAAAAGAAGAGGAAAGCTGTCAAAAGGTGTGCTCCTTTTGCACGACAACGCAACAGTCCACAAGTGCCATGTTGCGACGGGTGCCATTCGCCGATGCAGATTCGAAAAACTACACCACCCACCTTACAGTCTAGACTTAGTCCCTAGCGACTATTATTTGTTTTCAAAAATGAAAAAAAAGCTGCGGTGAAAAATATTTGAGAAGTCAAGTCCGCAATTTCGGCCTATTTTGATAGACAAGATAAATAATTTTTTTCGAATGTATTAATAAATTATTTGTGAGATCCGAAAAATGTATTAAGGTTAAGGGAGACTATATTGAAAAGGAAAAATAGTTTCGTGTTAAATTTCAACCCCCTTCCCGCTCATTCCGCGAACTTATTGACCTCCCCTCGTATATATAATTATACTAGTTTTTGCCCGCGACTTCGTCCGCGTTAATTTCATGAATAGTAATATATGTATAGCTGACCGGGTGAACTCTATTCCGTCCTAGAGGCCATAAATAATCAGGTTTTCCTGTTTCAATCGAACAGAATGATTGACATATTAGTTAGTTGTCAAATCTAATGTCAAAGAAATCATTTGTATGGGAAATAGAAAAGGGCTGTTTTCAGGGTTTTCCCGGAAATGAATCAATTTTTCTCACCTTTTAAACCTTTCCTGAACCTCCATGAACATTTCAAGACTAAGATAAGATAAATCCGTTCAGCCGTTCTCGAGTTTTAGCGAGACTAAGGAACAGCAATCCATTTTTATATATATAGAAGATAAGTACATCTTCTTGATAAATAAAGCATTATACAGGGTGACTGGTGAATTACTATCAATATTTAAGAAGAATACTCGGTACATGATTCTCATTCGAATTATGTAAAAAAAATAGGTACTTAATTTTTGACAAAATTTCCGTATAAATAAATAAAGTGTGGACACGTTCCAAGTGTGGACGCGTGCGGCGGCATGGTGTTGTATCAGCACGTGTGTGTGTATACCTAATCTGTAGGGTGTTCACACGATGCGTAATTAATTACATAACTTTTGGTTAACTTTACTTCGAAGTTTATTAATATTTATGTTATATTAATTTTTATTTTGTCATATATGATCGTCAAATATCACGTCCTCAAGTATCGATAGTAATTCACCAGTCACCCTGTATATTCCTCTCAGTATTATATCATATAATATTTGTTTGAATTAAATTCACCAAATTTTTTCTTAAAATTCGATAAATAGGACCGATGTTTCTCTTAATACGAGTGCATAGTTAACTTGTTACCTACAGTCAAAACGTTTCAAAATTGATCTCTAAAGAAACACGAAGGTAGCCGAAGATTCACGAGTGACAAGCTTCAAATAGTGTTTAGTGACTATTACTGTATTATCAATACATACATACTATAAAACAAACACTACTGCACCGATTATCATGCGATTTTCACCACTCGATAGCGTGATTTTCGCGAAAGGTTTCAATATGAATTTTGTTAAGTGTATGTATTTGGATACATAAACAATACTTGTTGAATATGTCAAGAAAAGATGAGCCTTTAAAGAAAACGCTGCGTAAAATAATGTATGGTGAAATTTTGTACAGAAAATGTGATGTAGTCTGCCCGTGATCACGAGCGCTGCAAAGTAAACGAAAGTTCGGGAAAATGTTGTTTTAATATAAAGAAACAAGGCGTAGTAAATCCGAAAAAATTAGTTTCTTTTGGCTCTAATGTTACTTTATGTTCTTCAATATCCCCTGTCAGTGATAGTAATTCCAGGTGTGATTGTTACAGCTGGCGCCGCAACTCTTCGTGTCTTATTGAGTTTCGCGGTGGGCGGTTTACTTGGAGACGTGTTCCTTCATCTTTTGCCTGAAGCATGGCATCATGACATGATGAACAGTAAAGGTAATAGTTTATATAAAAATCATCTCTATTACACATTAATATAAAGATCATTTTACTATGTTTGTTGGTTTCCGTTTATATCTGCAATTAAATGTATCGAATTTGATTACACGTGTTTGTTTTGACTAAGTTTAAATTCATAGAAATCCTCAATTCACACTAAATAATGAAATATAATATAATATAATTGGGTTTTTGAATATTTTTTTTTTTTTTGTGATAAATGGAAAGATCATATATAAGTTTTATAAGAAAACTATTTTTATTTATTTTTTCTTTGCAATAATTAAAAAGTTATTTCAAAATAAAAATTAAATTTTAAATTCAGTACCGAAGATCCGCCGACAGCTCCCGAATAAACCCGAGCGCGTGTGACGTCACAATGTTAGTTTTTGCTCATTGCAGCATACAGAGATATAATAATTAGTACAGTGTTTTGAGTTTTTATCTAGTAAATTCTGTTGGCATTGTTAAATAATCAAAAATGTCAAAACTCAAAAGTTATCGCTCTTGTTTTGTACCATTATGTACAAATACTACAAAAACAACTCCTGAAAAAATGTTTTTAAATGTTCCACAAGACGAAAAACGTCGAAAGAAATGGTTTCAAGCAGTGCACCGAGATTATTCAAAAACAAAATCAATTTTTTTTGTTGTGAAAATCATTTCGATGTAAGTATAATAATAATATAATCATAATAATATTGTTATTAATTATTTTATATCTAAGAGTATAAATCGAATAAGTATAGTTCAGTAATTAATTTTTTTACCTGGGCTCCAATTCATAACCTTTAGAATCGTAGCATTAAAAAAATTTTAATTGATAATTCAAAGCTATTAAATAGTAAATCTATATGTATGTTTGTCTAATAATTGGACTTCAATTAATAGATATTTTCATAATTTTATAACATTCTAGGTTCTGTATCAGACTACATTTAAATTTTTAAAGTATATGTTATTTTGGTTTTTTATAATGTTATAATAATATTTTAAAATTCTTCTTTTATTATTCTTCTTCTTAATTTTTCATTGATAGTTAGAGTAACTGAGTAAGCTTTACTCCGAACTCGGTGTTCTGGACACACACGTCCTTTTAAAACACAAATACCATTCTTACGATTAAGTTGACCATAACCTATAGCTTTATCACCGTGATGCTCTACAATTAATGAAATAATTATTAATTATATTTAATAGAAAATAAATACTTATTTTCATTTAGAATGGTATTTTTAACAGATTTACCTTGATGCCTTAGCACCTCGAACTTCAGCAGAATTAAACCGGACGTCATTTTTAAAAAAAATTGTTATAAATATATCAACATCAGGAATATTATCCGATTTTGCTTTTATAAATCCTTTATCACACATAGTTAGTCGAAATAAACTTTTCAAATCGTTTTTCACTAATAAATTTGAGATATTTTTATCAAGTCAAAAATAATAGCCATAAACACTGTACTATTATGAAATTGCTTTAACATTATGACGTCACAAGTATGCCGACCAATCGTGGCGCGTTTACAGTCACTTGATTTGTTTTTGAATTTTATAAATTTTTAATTGTTTATAATTAATTAAAAAAAATGTTTTCAAGTTTTTTGCATTAAAAATCAATATAATTAATAATAAAGTTTTAAAATACATAAAAAAAATCAATACTTTTTTTTTTTCAAAATCCCAATTATCGTAATCGAATTAATAGTTTGATATATATAGGTACATAAATCAGACATAGTCAGTGGTGGCCCAGTGGTAAAAATGCCCGCCTCTCATGCATGAGGGCGCGGGTTCGATCCTGGCAAGTACCAATGTGACTTTTCCGAGTCATACGTACTTTCTAAGAGTATTTAGACATCACTGATTACTGCATTCCCAAAGAGGGTCGATGTCAGGCAGGCGGCCGGTCGTAAAAACAATTAGCCTAAACTATTCACTACTTGTAAAGCAGACCCTGGCTAAACCTGGGAAATTGCCAGGTAGAAGAAGAAGACATAAGTCAGACATGTTTTTTATACATAATTATGTGAATTCAATTTAAGTGTGACGTAATTAAAATATAAATTATTCCGAATCTATATAAATAAATTAATATTATTTACTATACATTTGTTAATCTTCTATATATATAAAAATGGATTGCTGTTCCTTAGTCTCGCTAAAACTCGAGAACAGCTGAACGGATTTATCTTATCTTAGTCTTGAAATGTTCGTGGAGGTTCAGGGAAGGTATAAAAGGTGAGAAAAATTGGAATAATTGCCGGGCAAACCCTAAATACAGCCCTTTTCTATTTCCCATACAAACGTTTTTTTTGACATTAGATTTGACAACTAACTAATATGTCAATCATTCTGTTTGATTGAAACAGGAAAAACCTGATTATTTATGGCCTCTAAGACGGAATAGAGTTCGCCTGGTCAGCTATACCTACATATTACTCTTGACGGAACTAACGCGGACGAAGTCGCGGGCAAAAACTAGTATCCTTATAAATTAATTCACCGTTGGTCAATGTCATTAACAGTCCATATTAACAAACGCTTTGACATAATAAATAGTACATAGATCTATAAAAATGACAGAGAGGACATCTCCTCACTAATCACGTACCGGTGGAGATAATAAACATTATTTATTACAATAATATGATTCATACTCCATTATGATCTATAAAGAAAAATTTAAATTATCGATTATTATAAAACCCTGTGACTTCTATACTTTTTATCGACACGTTTTTAACACGTGGAGGTTTTGTGTTCCAAACGATGTGTTAAATACAGAGGAAATTAAACATTAATTGATGTTAATAGAGTTGATATTTCATTGTTTTGTGTGGAGGTTATTTGTTCCGAGCGATTGTAAACTGCGCCTGTTTACATGTAGGAGATTACTGTTTACTATAAGGAAATGTAATTGTTAAATTAAAAATATATATTTTGGATAATTTTTTTATAATTTTTTTTTCAAAAAATCTATTTTTTTATTCTCTAAAGAGTTTTCATTACAAAATTCCTATTAAATTCCTATTATTTTTTAACAAAACAAAATACTTTTCTCTTACTAATGGCTCATTAAAAATGTATGAGTCATAGTAATAGACAGTAAAATCTTTACCTTTATTAAAATAACCCGCCACACCATTACACAACCGCTCAGTGGGTTCAATAATTTCCAGGCGGCGAGGTATCTATGAGGTGTGGTATATGGGTGCTAGATATAACTATAAAGCAACACTTTATAATAACATTATATATCCTCGCTTAAAAATGCCGATCTGCAAAACGGAAGGGATGGCTCATGGTTTTGTTAAACTTGGCCCTTACTTTTTTGAGCTTTTGATTATCAAACATCGATCCATAACTTGTATAACATATAATAACCTTAATTATCAGGAGCCTGCGAACTAAGACTTCGGATACATGGTCCAGGACGCTCCCTCCGACAACGACTTCGGTCACCGAGAGTCACGACGAGGGGACCGCGCTGAGGGAGTCTACTACGTCGTCTAACCTGATGGAAGGAAACAGGTAATATATAATAGGAGGGTGGGTTGTTGTTATAAACACAATAGAGACCATGAGGATGACTTATGAAATGAAACATTTGTCACCAGACCGTTGAATATGAAGCCGACCAGGACGGTTTCAAGCCCAGAATCTCATACGAGGACGTCGGCGCCGGATCAGGCTACGACAGTAACAGACGAGCGGATTACAACAACGATTATAACAACGGACCTTATTAGAAGACTTTATATAAAGAAAAAAAAAACCATGACAATTTGTTAATGTTATCTTTTACTTTAGTAGTTAGTGTTTATTGGTATATTTATTAATTAACTAGATACCTATATCTACATTGTTATCTTAAACTTTTTTTTAAATGTTAGTATATTCACGTAATGTAAATATAATTAAACTCTAAAATCTATACTTTCCTTTCATTCCCACGATCATTTCTTTGTAAAATTTTGATGTCGGTACAAATTATATTACATAAATTCTTGGATGGATAGTGCTTTCCTGTCATTCTACTCAAATTATAATTGGATGGAAACACAAAATCAGGTGAACTTGTCGAACCGTTTGCTGCGTACATGATTCCCAAAGTGGTGGCTGGTATTAAAAGCATGCAAGAATTCAAGCGAGCAATGTCTAAGCACAGTCTTCAAAGGCCAATACCGAAATTCGTGTCTTAAAACACTGAAAGGCCAGCTACGCGCGTACTTAGGACCAACTAAATTGGTTTTAGCCAACTCGGGGTCACCAACAAGACTTTTTGAGTATCTGTTTACGAAGATCAAATCAGTCAGACGACATATTATGTGTTATCATCAGTGCTTGCCAAAATATGACATCAGTACTGATCCTACAACCGGACCTCTCCTTTAAATAGACAAAAAAGTAGTCCAGGTAGGTACTGTTATAGGTAAAGGTACTGTTATACTTTTGTAAGGACATCGCATATCCTTGAAGTGCCATCGCTTTCAACTTAATGAACAATCCAAAGTTGGGATTCGGTGATATCTCAATATTCGATGTTATAGCCAAATTTCTAAGATTTAATCACTTTACCAGTGATTAAAGAGGTATGGTACAAGCGTGACGGAACAAGAGACAACTGTCATGCACAATTGCACATATTTTAACCTATAGGTAGGGCTGGAATAGGATCTGAGCGTCTAACCTAGCGTTAAAATTAACCACTTAAGAATAAATAGTCTCGGTTTTTTTTACAAATAAGGGACTCTGACATAAAGGAATCGAAGTCAGGTAAACTAAATGGTACCCGATAATTGAGCTGACAGAAGTTTGGTAATATGTTTTTGCTAGGAACCAAAAAGCTTCACCTCCAAATATGCTGTTTAAGACTGATTAAGACTGTTCCAAGTTTTGCTGCATTTCCTTTTTCTGCCTTTCCCTGCCCTAAATATTTTGAATATCAAAGTGTTTGGTATTTAAGTTAAAAGTAACATCGTCTCAATTCTTCACTATTTCATGTACAAAACTAATGATTTTCTTTCAGTCAGTTTCAGATTGATGGCGACGGAATTTCAAGACATTTTAAGGTTTTGTTATCACTGGCGACTATGTGACTTTAGAAATACGCTAAACTACATCAGAAACTGATCCTCAGACTGAGAAAATCTGAATCTCAATGTCAGTCTCATATGTTGCAATTATATGTTATCCTTCCGGCCCCCATTAAGGCCAGTTGGACGGCTCGTAAAAAGAGTTTCTCTGAGACATCAAAAAAAAATTATATGGTATACTAAATTCAAAATGTATTTTCACATATAGAAGTCAGTTTCCTATTCCACTTGTCATTTGGAATTTCGTAAATATCATGTAAATATCGGTGTATAATCTTTGGTTAAAATTATAAATCAATTACAAAAGGCTCAAATAAGAAAACACAATTCAATTTTAAAAACCAAATTTATTTGAAAGCAAACAACAAAACAGACAAAAATCTCAAGATTTTTAATTGACTAGATTTAATAAAATAAAACTAGACGAATCACATTAAGAAATCGAATTTATGTTTTAAGGAACTTATACAATAAAATAATTATTTAGTGTCCGCTACTCTTTATACATCAACTCCTAATTTACAATATCATTTACAATATTATTTTATTATTATATACTTTACTCCACCCAACAGTTTTCGAAGTAAAACTTAGTTTTAAACTAGTCCAAAAATGTAAAAATAATCAGAGAATTATATTGGTAACTGAGATTTTTACTTTAATAAATAGAACTGTTAAACAATGGATTTTAATTTAGAAATTAAAATGTTAAATTGACATAGAAAAGCATATTATTAAAGACTGAACTAATCAACAAAAAATATATTTCTAAAGTGTTTTACAAATTCACAAAATTACAATTAATACCTAAAAAATATGTGAAAACACATAAGTTCTAAGAGGTAAGCTAGATGTATATAATGTGAGAAGACGATCAAATACAACATGTTTACAAATTACTTTTCATTGATCGTACTTAAACATTATGCAATGAAGTTCCAAATATATGATGTAGATGGCGTTAATAATAATTACAGATTAACATCATTTACATGAATTAACCATTTTACTAAAATATTAATGATGTTGAAATTACCAATATAAGAGAAAATATACTAGAAAACAAAAAGAGTACTAAGAAACATTTAGACATCTTAAAACGACACCAAAACTAAAACATTCTAAGTACGAATAAATTAAAAAATATTTGGTTAATTTTTGTACATAATACAATAAAATCTGATTATTATCTTACCGAGTTATTATAATAATATTAATAATTATGAGAGAGTTAAGTATACAGATAATACTAACGTTACAGGTAGCTCAGGAACACTAACACATCACCCCGCTATAAACAACTTGAACTGAACACATACCGAGTATAAACATATCTTCATTGATACTAAAACAATAGTTTGTGCCAATTATATAATATTATATATAATGAAAGACATGTGTATTAACAATCACAGTAGAACATTATATTCATCTACAGACTCACGTACATTAATGTAGAATTATATTATCATATATATGTAATTGTTTTGATATATAATATAAAACATTGTTAATGTCTATTGGTTACAGCAGCAGTACATGTTGAGGTGTGGGTGGGTGTCGCTTATACAGCTCGGCTCGTTGTTGTAACTGTAATATGTATAATATATTATTAGTATATTATCTTGTATTATACAGGGTGACTGGTGAATTACTATCGATATTTGAGGACGTGATATTTGACGATCATATATGACATAATAAAAATTAATATAACATAAATATTAATAAACTTCGAAGTAAAGTTAACCAAAAGTTGTGTAATTAATTACGCATCGTGTGAACACCCTACAGATTAGGTATACACACACACTCACACACACGCGGCGGGGGCGTGGTTTTGTATCAGCACGCCGCCGCACGCGTCCACACTTAGAACACTTGGAACGTGTCAACACTTTATTTATTTATACGGAAATTTGGTCAAAAATTAAGTACCTATTTTTTTTACATAATTCGAATGAGAATCATGTACCGAGTATGCTCCTTAAATATTGATAGTAATTCACCAGTCACCCTGTATATACATTTTAAAAATAACTGTGTTCGTTACATATAATTTATTGCAATGCAGTATAGACAAAATGATGTAAATAATTCAGCCACTTACGCGTTAGTTCTTGATATATCTCTTGAATTTATCTCAAATCTGTTCTCGTTGATAACATGAGTCACTAATGCTTCGTATTTACCGACACCAGGTCCTACTGAGATCTGAAATTATAAACATATAACTTTCAGCCTTTCAGTCATGTAGTCTTCAACCACCAATGTCTATTACTAGTCATCACTTTAATCATCCATTAAACTTATATAATATATAGGATAGTAAAATCAATTAAACTTTATTTAAATTTACTTAACGTTTTTTAAACATATGTTGATGATTTAGTTAGTAACCCATGGACAACCGTGACATAGTTTTGCGGATGTGTTGCCACCCTTGATTGGGGAATAGGAGGAGGAGGCAAAGGTGGGAAAGGGATGGAAAAGGGAAAGGGCAACCGGCTCTCTCGCTCATCGGACGAAACGCAGTCATTAATGACTAATAATACATTTTTTTTATCTCGTCCTATCGGGTGTCATAATGATGCTAATATTTAAAAAGCATGGAAAAAAATATTTAACTTCTTTTCACTCTGTTACCAAACCGTCCAATGAATCCGTCTTGAACGCGAGCCTCCACGAACTTTAATACGCCGCTGTTGGGCCTCGCTCGCATCACCCACGACACTGACCTGGAGATAAACGGATATTATAATATTATTATATTTTCAAATTTGATTAGGTAGAGAGAGGAGCTTGGACGGTGGAGGTGAGCGTTCAATGCGCTTTAGATAGGGGGCCCCTTAAACCTACACCTGGGTCTCGAGTCCTAGATACTCTTGAAGCTTCCCCTCCTGCAACGTAGAATGCTCAGAAGTTTCGTCTCTTATAGGATAGTCAAATATAAATACACTACTGTGTATTTATATTTGACTATCCTATAGTCGTAAAAGTAGTCTTCGTAACAAAAGACTTATAAAGTAATAATTCTATCGCATATTTACTGCTTTAAGTAGTGATTAACGCGCGTTGGATAGGGCCCTCTTAAACCTATACCTGGGTTGCAAGTCCCAGACACTATTGAAGCTCCTCTCTCTGTAACGCTATGGCCCCGGCACCCTCACGGTGCATCCATTGAATGCTAAGAGGTTTCGTCTCATAATACACAGAACCACTCTCCTTCAAACCCTATAGTTAAGAGAGGACTATATCAATAAGTGTTTCGTTCTCATGTTATATATATATATTTACGGAACGTTTCTCCTCAGTCAAATGATTGATAAAGTCCACGAGCGGCGGCCGTCCTCCTGAACATGACGTCATCGTGCGTCACGTTCTGCCACGACAGACACGAACACCAGTGAGCCTACACACCCGCCTCGCTACACGATCTGTTCTTTGGTATCTGGAAAAGAACATATTATATATATCGGCGCTACTATATATATATTATATATATCATGGACCGTACTTGAAGAAGTGACCTTTGTAACGTCAGCGAGGCTGGCGTCCCTCTCTTTTAAAACCACGAATTTGTAATAAATCCGATATCAGAAGTGGGATCGCTCTCGTGATCAGATACTGCCGGTCTTATAAATCCTGATCCAGCTGAAGAAAATAACCATGTGGAGAACTTGCGTGCTGAAGAAC